CTTTCCCTCTGCACTGTGCAAAAGCTACTGTTTACTTCATTTTTTATTTCCCATCGTGCCTTCCCTGGCCTGAGATAACTCATTTGGTTATTATTGTCGAGAACAACTGCCAGCTCTCCCTGCTCTTGTAGTTTTTGGATGGGCTCTAATGCCAACCACCACAACTAGTCTGCTTGACTTTGGGAGGGGGAGGGTGTAAGCAAGAAGCCACAGGAGATTAAGAAAAAACCAAATCCAGTTCATATTGCTCTAGAGGCTCGGGCTTTTACAGAAATTCACAGGAAGATGCTCCTTAACAGGCCTCAGATCACCGCTCGCCTCCCCAAGCCTATGTTCTCTTTTCCACTGTTAATAAGGGTTGTCCCATCTGTGCTTTACTGGGCACAGCTGAAAGACATGAGCAAGAAGTCCCATTCCTATATGCCAGGGGACTTCCAAGTGCTCATGATTTTTTTACTAAACATGGTTTTATCTTTTTTGTTTTATTTTTTTCTCTTTTCAGCGCTAAGAGATTGATCAGATTCTCAGCTGTGTAGGTCTAGTCACTAAAATACTGCTCTACAACCGCCAATGATCAATGTTTATACGTTGAAAAGTGTCAGCTGAGCAGATATAGTGTATTTAGCATTCAGTTAATCTACACTGCAAGTATTAATTCAGTAAGGTACTAGAGTGAATTTTAATTTGTAATTTCCAGAAATGTCTAAAAAAACTTTAGTAAATGTAAAAATATGGCAAAGTTGGCAAAGAGTGTAATAATTGTTTATGAAACATTTTTCCATTTCTCCTTTACTGCAGGATCAAATAATTAAAAAAAACCCTAGAAAAATAAATTCTGTCAGGCTGGGGAGACTCTTGGCTAAAAGCAACTCTCCTACATTCATGTTAAAGTAAATGGCAGATCTGGAGTTATCTGAAAAACTTTGAAAATCTGTAAAACCTTAAGAGATGCAAAGAAAAGAGTGAAAAAAAAAGGGGGGGGGGAGCATGATTGATGTAAAAAAAAAAAAAAGTCTCCTGCAGTGGGAGGACTGCAAATGGGAGGATGAGACTTCTGTATGCTCATGTCCATGTCCTCAAAGTGACCAGGACATTTGCCTTCATTCTTAACCTGTCTCTTTTTTTTTGTTTTTTTGAGCTCCTGGTAGGATTAATTTTTTTTCCAGGGCTGTTCAGGTAAAATATTATTGCTAATGCAAACAGAATGTGCATGACCCTTTACATGACCTCTTTATATGAGTTTTCAGAGTACTTACTGAAAGGAAGATTTAAATATTAATCCTACAAAATCTTGTATTTCAAAGACTATGTGCTTGCAGAACTAAGTAAACAATTACACAAAGTAACTATAATGCATTTTTAAGCAATTAGTATAGCCAGTAACAATATCTTGCTGATGTATTTCAGTTATTCAGTTAACGTTAATTAAAATGCGTGGTAGTTGAGAGATTTTTGAACTGTTGTCACATAAAAATTTTTATTTAAAAAAATCGTTGAAGTTATATATACAATTTGCAAGCCCCAACTGACCTGTTACAGAAAGGAAAATTAATATGCTATTATGACTTCAAGTCAGGAAAAGGAAGGTTTCTGTATTAAACTGTTTAGCTTTCCCTAACACTGCAAAATTAAGATAGGA